AGTGTTGTCGAAAATTATACAACTACCATAAATCACTTATACACAACCCTCCATTGCTTGCTGTCCCCCATCTCTGTTGGATGTTCTCCTCTTCTCTCCTTTGTGGATGCACATCTTCCATTTCCTCATTTGCATTCCCGCTGCTCCTCACTTCAGCACCCCTCTCTGCCCCCTCCCCCACATTCCCCTTCTTTCCTGGCCATGAAGTGCGAGTGGTCACACTCAGTTCTCCTCCTCCTCCTATTCTCCATCCATTTCAACTTCATTTCCACCCTGGATTTGTTTACATGCTTTCTATATTGATCGGGTTTTTGTAGCCGACGAGGGATTTATCCCCTGTCCGTGGGACTGTATTAGCAAACCTCAGGATTGACTTGTCTCTCTGAGATGCTCCCCAACTAGCGTGTGCTCCAAATAAAATAAAATGCCATCAGAGCAGGCATCTTATTTCAGGATTTTATCAGTGTGACGGGCTTATTTCTCGAGTCTGAAATCCTGCTCCTCAAATGGAAAAACAACACAGGGCAAATTTATTTCCATCGGAATTTCAATTTTGAAGGGCAAGTTTGAATGAACCCACGTCATGAATGAACCCACCTTATTAACACTGCTCACACCCTACACTTCAAAACCATAACAATTTAGAGCTTCAATGTAATTCAGAGCTTCATCAAAAATTCTGCTTTTTTACGTACACTTTTCAAATGATAGACATTTTACTTTGACTGCCACTGTCAGAAAGATATAACTGGGGTTATTATCTGCCATTTATTTCTACTATCATTCTGTCTCGTGTAGCTAAATAACAGGGCCAAATAGAAGCATGCACCTTTGCGTGCGACCAAGTGTAAAATAGAATCTCGCGTGTACACACATTGTTTAATTAGACTTAAAAAAAAATTACATTAAACAATTCATTAAACAGTTTCGCTGTCACTGATTTTATGGCTTGTGAGAGTGCACAGGACATGGAAATGACTCGATTAGCACTGAGGCATAGTAATATGAATGCATCATGACCACGTAGTCTCGTTTTTTTTCACATTAATTCAACTTTTTAAACGCTTTGCGTGGTTTTGCCTCAATGCCATTAAGGTTTGGCGGTGAATGATGCACATTTTCCTCCATGAGGCCTTTTCAGACGTGTCCTCCTCTTCCATTGAATCAGGTGTTATTCAGCACAAAATGTTCCCTCAGCTACAAAAAGAGACTCTGTTGTAATTGTCAACTCAAATTGAGGCGAAGTTCCTCATGGGTATTTCGGGTCCGTAATTGTTGTGCGTTTCCGACGCCAGGAAGGTCTTTCTTTCCACAAGCTTGGCCTGATTCACGCAGTGACTTGCAGTGGGCACGGACAGTGAAGAATGGGTCAGCTGGCGTTGGTCTTCACTTGAGGTTAGTTGGAGATGACGTCTGTCTTGTATCAGGTGCTCCAACTGAGCGGAGTCTTGTCAGGGGCTGTGCTGCCACCTTTGGTTCGGCTGTGGTACTGTAATGCAGTCCCGTCGTCAGTTTAACGGCTCCTCCCCAGTGAAGTCACGTTGCATGTTTGGGACCCTGTGGAGAGATTAATGGCACGTCTAACCTTACCGTGTTACAGCGAACAAACAAGCGTTATGTGTAACAACCTGACACACACATTTAGCTACTGCCCAAACTTTTACCCATCCAAATTATCAGGATATTTCCTGCTCTCGCTTTTATTTGTTGTGTTGTGTTGGTACTCTTTTCGAATCAGATCAAACTGGACACACTGCGGGCACATAAATAGCAGAGGTGTAGGATTGCAGTTTGGCATTTCTAAAATTTTTATCCCCAGGCATGCAGAGTAAGGTAGTTAAAATATCAGAAACAGTTTTCCCGTTTGGAAATTACAACCACATCTGTGAACGTATTGTTATATTCGTCACGAATTGACGTCACATAACACGTTTTCCATAGCTAGGCAGGATGTCTAAAAAAATCCTCTTGTGCCTGGAATTGTCTTGTAAAAGTCGTCAGGGGGGTCCATTGTATGAAATATTTTTGAATAAAACATTTTTTACCCGAAATATCTCAGTTACGGTCTGATCATTGGTGGATGCTTGCTGTTTTAGTGTAGAGATTTATAGTGGGAATCCTATGGAGACTTTGCCCACTCTCCTGTTGCAGATAATAGAATGTGTACATCTGCCATAAGGCTCACTTACATATCCAAATGTTTACTTTTAATTTGTTGCATTCACAGGGCTCTTTTCCTTCTTTGGTCTAAAACGACGCGTTTTAGGCTTGGCCTTTTTTCCCCGGTTGTATTTTCTTGCTAGGGAGTGGTCATTTGTGTTGACATGTTAGTGCAATGATAAATGCATCTGCCAGGGGGCAGTCGAGCACACTCATGAGAACACCAGGCGCGTCAATTTTGGGCTTTCTGGCTTGCTTCTGCCGATCAAAAATTGTCAAGGCAGGCAGCAAAATGAAATTGTTGGAATTAATCTTGTTAAGAAAAACGCTTTTTGGGGAAGGGTCTGTATCTGGATCATGTTGAGGGGCTGGTTCCTCCGCGAAACTCCTACAATTATCAGGCTTTAGTGGTTTATATCCCTATTAATATTCACTACACAAGCATTCAGTCATGACTTATTTTCCATTCTGATATCAGGGGAGGTAAAGTGAGGGATGGGTGGAGATCTCCCCCCCAACCCCCGATAAATGAGCGCAAATGTTCAGCCATTAAAGCAATGTTCGGCATCATGCAAAAAGTTGAAAGAGCAGACATAAAAAGAACATTTACACACACTCCAAAGTTAGAGTAACAGTCATAGTTCAATCAATTCAAAACGTAAAGTTGTCATTTATGCTCATAAAACTGTTTAAAAAATGTCATGAATTTCATACTACTCATTTTACTATTCTGCCATCTATGAGCAAAAATCTGATACATTGAATTTATGGCACATTTCAATAACGGTGCAGCACTAAATCTCTTACTGAATATTCACTGAATATTTTATTTCAATGTCTTACTTATTCAGAGAAATAAAAAAAATAAATTTCTATCTATCTATCTATGTAGCGATCATCTCAAAAATTAACTAACAATATTGCATTTTGATTTGATTGAATCATGTATATATGTTTATAATGTAAATTTACAGCATATTTACACACACACACACACACACACACACACACACACACACATATATATATACACACACACACACACACACACACACACACACACACACACACACACACACATAGCTCTCATCTCATTCTCTCTGGCGCTTCTCTTCATGAGGGTCGCAGGTGTGCTGAAGCCTATCGCAGCTTGAATATATGTGTTTGATCCTTCTCTCCAGGTACATGGGGTGTTGGTGTCATGAAAGTTTATCCGCTTTTTTTCTTGAACACTTAAACAAATCCAGTTGTACGGTGTACCCTGCTTTACCGCATATTAATTGGTTTTATTTTTCAAGCCCAATGCCACATTTGTTTCCTAGGCCCCTTCATGGAGGATGAGTCCTAAACCTCTTTCTCTTTTTTTTTGGGGTGGGGGTGGGGGGTGGACTGCGTAAAAAAAAACCACCTGTAACTCGAGACACAAACCTCTGCAATCAGATACCAGGGGCAGCTTTATGGCTCTTGGGAATGGAGACACACGGCTAACTAGTTTGTGCACAAGCCTCTCTGGGTTTCCAACGTTTGCCGTGCATTTGGACAACCTCTGAGTGGAGGCCATTTTGTTTTTGCCTCATGTTTGCACGGTCCTGAGATTGTGTAGGTGCCGGCGGGGGATGGGCAGACTGCTGCGGCTACCCTGAAGACTCCTGTTAATGTTTTAGTCATTCTGCAGCCTCTTGGCTGGGAGACCGATTCAGTCAAAAGCATTTGAGCACCGTCAAGTCTTAATCGTGATTTACTGCATATTTGGACATCTGCAAAGAGCTTTTGCACCTTGAAATTATCACCCTGCCTTTTGCTCTCAATCCCTTCCTTCAGTAGTAAACCTCCGGGAAGGTGCATGCAATACTGCCTCACCTTGAAGTAATCCAAGGTAGAGCCACTTGTGTCACCTTCTCCCTGCAATCATCTGCAGCTCCATTTTACCTCATCTCGCCGTTGCCTTCAAGTCTTCAGCTTGGCGCCCCAACCACACCCCTCTCGTCTTATCCATCAGAATTAATGTGCGCCGCTGCCCCTGCTCCCCTGTCTCTTCTTAACCCACCTCTTGCTGCTCACCAGCTGGGCACATCAATCCTCCTGACAGGTGCTGGTCGGCCCGCTCCTTCCTGCTCAGTCCCCCAAAAAGGAAACACAAAGTCGTGGACGGCACCGCTCAAGTGGAGGCGACGAGAAATCGGGGCTATCTCGCACACACCTTTCTGAGATATCCGTCTTGACGAACAAGACAAGTGACGGGAACTGCCGATGAGCACGTTGCGTTACCTTGACAAGTTGTTTTTACTGCTTTGTTGCCCACGGCGGCCACCCTGGCTCATTCGAGGAGGCGAACCGTCACCGGTCATCAATAACATGTCTGTGTGGTGTGGGTGGTGCAGGCTGTGTGGCTTGTGTTTTCCCAACCATGGCC